AAATTGGGGGAGCGACATCACATGCATTACACCCCAATGTTGTGCGCCAATCATTGAATATAATATTTTGAACCTTACTGCTTGCCAAGATTTGAAATACCAAAGCAGAAAAGGCCATTTTATTTCTCCTAATCTTGAAATCCCTAGGCCTTTTCCACCCAACACAGAAAGATGAAGGTAACATGAAAACAAAACAAAACCATGGTAGGCATTTAATATGTTGTACACTTGCAAAACCTTAAATCTAAGCTGCTCAGATCAGATATTGCTTTTTACAATAAGCTCACAGAGGACATGTCTCACATGCAGCTCACTCTGTTATAAGAAACGTGGTTCTTAGAAGGCTTGCCTTAGCCGCAAAAAATATTATTTTAAAATATTCAGTGAAAGTGTATAAAAAAAGAGAAGTCAGGAGATGATATTTTGAAGCTTGAATGAGCAAGATCAGTCTGAAAATCTGGTGCTTTCTTAATGTGGAACTGTTGCCATGACTACCCATTTGGCCAGTTTTGGGGATGCCATTTTCGACATGGCTAGTTCTGGCAAGATGTTGCAATAGGTTATGTTTATTAATATGCACCTTTTGTTTTTCTGGTTCCCCTCCCCCATTTGTTATTTTGCAATTTGCTACCAATCAATTGCTTTGGGCGGGTATTTCTGTTTGACTTGTGCCAATCAGCTGCCATGTTGTCCTGCCTGAAATCCTTTGTCATAGCAATGCATTTCCTTCCGCATTGTAATTCTTTTTGCTCAGCTTTCCGTATTGATCAACTAATATTGTTAGTTTTGGCCATTCCATGTCAGAGACAACAGAAAGATCAATATTAACCACATGAAAGGAGGGACCTGCTCTGAAAGCATTTGCAACTGGAATAATTTGCATTCAATTTTTAATTATTATTATTTTTTAAAAATAAAACCCCTGTAAGTCTTTCACAAGTGTAGTGGAAGAGTCACTGTTGGCTGGTGACACATGAGTTCAGAAGCAGCCATAGCAAATCTCTATTGTGCATTATTAAGGATATCTATTAAAGTGTACAATGTCAACCCAAGACATTTTGCTACCCAAGGCTAAGCAATAAGATGGCGTCTTCTCCCATTGCATAAACAGACTGGCAGTTGACAGGGAATTCTGACAAAAATTGAAACAGGAGCAGAAGTTGCTGATGTTTGCTTATTTGTCCCATGTTCGGAATGGAAATCAGCCCAGTGAATATGGTCAGTGTTCACTGTTGTTGTTTGCAGTCCACAAACAATATGTAATTAATTACGTTTCTTCCCATTTGCACTCCATTTTCTTTGGTCTGAAATTAATAGGCTGCAATAACATAAGTACAGCACAGTTTATGTAATTAATTATGTGAATTGCGTAAGTTGTACAGTTTTGCCACAGACGAATAACAGAAAACAACAATGCCTTCTTACATCCTTAATTATTTCAACACTAGGGATAGGGCAATCTCTTCCATTGAGAGCAATGGGTTTGCTTAAAGGGTGCAGAGTAGGCTATTTGGCATTCTGTCTGCTCCCTGCCCTTCCGTACCTGCCACCTGAAGTGGCTACCTCAGTCTGCCTAATAGCAGGGCCGGCCCTGCCTGAAAGTATGTTACTGCTTAGCAATTATTTTAAGGCAGCTCCAAGCTGAGATGTCTATGGTGGTTGACAGGTTGACACCAACTCAGCACAGCTGAACCCATAAGCCACATGGGGATTGTGCTTAATTGCTGCAGCTATAAATTGTGCTTACATTTATTTATTTTTCTCAGCAATACGGAGCAGCTGGAATGCTGAAAAATTCAGCCTCCCTCTGTACTACAAGTGCTGGAGAAAAGCTGTCTGCAATCCATGTAACAACTGCATTCAAAAGAACAACGAATATTCAGAAAGACTTTGAGAAGAGCTTAGTGGCACCTACCTTACATGGGAAAAGGACCCTGTTCAGTCTCTGGTGTCTCCCGTTAGAAGGCTCAGGCAGCAGTAAGTGATGAGGAAACCCTCTGAGTGCCACAGCCTGGATCTCTATTGCTGGAGATATTTCTGCAGAAGCAGTACCTGTCATGGCTACTATAATAGTTGCATCTGGCACAGTAGACTAGACTAGGTGGCATCCAAGGTCTCTTTCCATTTTCTAACTCCATTGTTCTATAACCTGGAAAGTTGATGGCGGTCAGAGGAGATGGTGCTGAGTTAAATGGACCAATAGTGACTTTGTTGGTACATGCTTAGATTTTTCTTGGCCTTGGGTGTTCCCATTCAACCAGGCCACAAGGTGCCATTCCTAGCCTGGCAAAACCTATGGGGATATCCGGCTATGCACAGGGTTCTGCAAGCTACAGAAAACATGTCTGTTAACCCTACAAAGCCCACTGCTTCTTTCCCCCAGAGTTTTTTTTCTACACTTTGGGTTGCCTATAGGGGTTACCCACTGGGTTACCAAGAGTGTGCATTCCACATGAGTATCAACTGCTCAGACTATGATTATTGGTCATTGGGTTGGGGGGAGGGTTGGTTGTTTTTTTTATTCTGGCTTTTATTATGTATATTGCATTTTTTCCCTTGTCTTCTTTTATTTTGTGAACTCCCCTGAGAGCTACGGATGAAGGGTCGTATATATATATATATATATATATATATATATATATATATATATATATATGGTGTGTATGTGTATACACACACACACACACACACACACACACACACACATCTTGGGACTTGGCTACGCTAGTCAAATACATCGTTATAACTGCGTTATAAACATGCGGCACCAGCAGTAATCCGTCGCCAATGGGATTTTCAATAAAGAGCTCTTACAAGGTTTCTTTCTGTAGCGTTTCTTCTATCTGTCCAGATCCAGCCTCTGTGCGGTTTAGTGCATGACCGAAAAGGGCATGGATCATACGGGAAATGAGTTCCAAGGCAGCAGGTGCCTCTGAAAAATCAATCTGTACTGGTAATATATTTATTAACAACAAACAGGACAAGGGAAGGTAATGAGCCATGTCGGTGGGAAACTGGTGCCATGTTGGAACACAGGGAAACAAAGGAACACTTTGGAACACAGAGAAGGAGGTAGTGTGGTATAGTGGTTAGAATGTCGGACTTGGAACATGAGAGATCAGGCTTCACATCCCAAGCTCCCTGGGTGACCTTGGGCCAGTCCCTGCCTCTCTCAGCTGGACCTACCTCACCGGGTTGTTGTGAGGATCAAATGGGGAGGAGAACTAGGTTGTGCCACCTTGAGCTCCTTTGAGGAAAGGTGGGATATTAATGTAATAAATAAAATGATAACCAGAAGATTGTGCCAACAAGAATAACTGTTACTATGTGCAATTAAACACAATCTTGAAGAGACCCTTCTGCATTCTTTTGAGGACAGAAAAACCCTGAATGCTATTTCTGTCTCCATAGTTGGGGCAAGTGGATCAATTATGCAATAGCTGGCATCACAACAAAGATGATAAACTTCCCACTTTGCTAATTCCAGTGATTCAGAATCAGGAAGACTTTTGCAGCTGGACTTCCTTGATAATCTCCGTCTCTGCTTTCTTTCTATTCTAAGCTGACCACCGGCTTTTAATAAGTCAACCTGCATGATATCTTATATAACAATGAAGCAGGAGACACTTCTGAGAAGTTGCATTTGGGGGGGTTTTACGGACATTCTTTTCAGAAAACCGTAAAAGGTTGAAACGTTTGTTATAATTCATCAGGGCTGCATATTGTGCTTAGTGGTGCATAATGTATTTGAATACCTGATTAACTTTGCATCGATCTTTGTTCCTCCTGTTCAATAAATGGAGAGGACAGACGAACGTAGCAGAGCACGAGAGCTTGCCATGCTGTAAATGTGCAGCCATGTCGCCTTCTCAACAGTATTTCTTAATTCCACAAATAGTGTGATGCGACCACTAACAACCCGCTTTTTGTCATTGTACACTGTCTCAGTAACTGTTGGTTGTGAAGCTGTTTATAAATCTGCAAATAACAATGGAATCTTAGGCTGCATTTAGTGTCCAGGTCATGAAATGTAATATTTCCACTTTATTCATCAGCACTGAACAAACCTCATCTGGAGTATTGTGTCTGTGTCCATTTCTAGGTGGAACACTTTGAGAAGAACATTGATCAACTGGTGTGTTCCAGAGTAGGGTAGCCAGGATGGTGAGGAGTGTAGAAAGGAAATATTGTGAGGAATGATTGAAGACAGGGGTGTGGAAGAGAAAATTAAGGTGGAGGAGACATGATAGCAATCTTCAAATGTCTAAAGGGCTCTCACACAGAGAATGAAGCTGGCTTATTCGCTGTTCCTTCAGAGCGGAAGGCTAGAACTACTGGGTGGTATGCAGTGAAGCAGATTTGGGCTAAACATTAGGATATAGAGCGGTTCTACAATGGACCGCCTTGAGAAGTGGTGCAGCAAAGGGGTAAGGGGGAAAACACTGTCTATAAAGCAAAAGCAAAAAAAAAAATACTATGCATTGGAATTATATGTGAAATTTAGTAAGGTAAAAGGTAAAGATAAAGGACTTCTGGAGACAGTCTTCTGCAGGACTTCTGCAGTCAAAGGAGACTATGGGGTTGTGTTGTTCATCTTGCTTTCAGGCCGAGGGAGCCGGCGTTTGTCCACAGACAGCTTCCCAGTCATGTGGCCAGCATGACTAAACCGCTTCTGGTGAAACAGAACACCGTAATGGAAACCAGAGCGCACGGAAACACTGTTTATATTCCCGCCACAGCGGTACTTACTTGCACAGGTGTGCTTTCGAACTGCTAAGTTGGCAGGAGCTGGGACAGAGCAACGGGAGCTCACCCCCACACGGGGATTCGAACCGCCGACCTTCCGATTGGCAAGCCCAAAAGTCTCAGTGGTTTAGACCACAGCATAAAATATATTTGAAAAACAAGAAGTGATGAGCTCTCCTTCACTGGAGGTGTTTAATCAGAAGCTGGACAGCCATCTGTCAGGGATGTCATACTTTCCTCCTACATCATCTGGAGAGCTCAGGAGGTTAGAGTGTGGTACTGATAATGCCAAGGTTGCAGGTTCGATCCCCATATGAGACAACTGCATATTCTGGCATTGCAAGGGGTTGGACTAGATGATCCTCAGGATCCCTTCCAACTCTATGATTCTATGATTTCACATTTGGCACCAAGTTGGATGTTAAATCAGGACACGGGTGGCACTGTTGGTTAAACCACAGAGCCTAGGACTTGCCGATCAGAAGGTTGGCGGTTCGAATCCCCGCGACGGGGTGAGCTCCTGTTGCTCGGGCCCTGCTCCTGCCCACCTAGCAGTTCGAAAGGACATCAAAGTGCAAGTAGATAAATAGGTACCACTCCGGCGGGAAGGTAAACGGTGTTTCCGTGCGCTGCTCTGGTTCGCCAGAAGCGGCTTAGTCATGCTGGCCACATGACCCGGAAGCTGTACACCAGCTCCCTCGGCCAATAAAGCGAGATGAGCACCACAACCCCAGAGTCGGTCACGACTGGAACTAATGATCAGGGGTGCCATTACCTTTACCTTTACCTGGGTGTTGAATCAGTTGCCCTCGTTTCTATGATCTTGCCATTTCAATACATTATAAATGGGTTGGGTGTTTTTGTGGTCCAGTGACTGACAACTTCCAAACACCCTAACAACCACCTGTGCAAGAAGAGTAGGCGCCACTGGGGCTCGTGGAATTGCCTTGCGTTCCTCGGCTTTCAGAACTGTTTAGAACCCCTGAGAAACCAAAATATCTCGTTAGCCAAATTAGCTTTCTGGGCTGGCCATGCGTGGACACCTAGAAGAAGGTAGCAGCTTTGTTGCTGTTAGTATACAGCAAATTGAGACACTGTAGTTTTTCTATCTGCTACTAGAATAAGCCCTCTTTTTTTAAAAAAAATAAAAATAGGGGAGGCTGCTGGAGCCCCAGCGTCTCATTTTTAACAAGGACCAGCTGAAAAATGAAGGCAAGCTGCACACAAACCATCTTATGTCTGCCAATTCATTTCCTGGCCCTGAAATGTGGAGAGGGGTGGGGTGGGGGGAACCTCTCCAGTTTCCTCTTAGGCAGGCCAAACATGGCAGAGCACCAGGGGAATTCAGAATGGAATCAATTGCACTTGTTACTGAGTTTTCTTTATTCTTATATTACCAGGGCCTGGGTACTCAGCTGCAAACAATTACAATGAAGAGTTACTGACTAATGGTTTCCAGATTGCTCCATGATGGGGCATTAATTGAAAGGGACAATTTAAGAGCTTAGGCCATGTAAATGCATTTCTTATTCTGTCAGATTGGGAAATTTCTGCATGCAAGAGGCTGAAATGCACAGAGCTGATAAAGACTTAATAGCAGCCACTTATATGAGCATTTGGAAAAAGGATTTTACATTTAAAGGATCAAGAATAATTAAAATAAAGCACCAGGTTGGGTTTGGGTTGTGGTTGCTGTTTTTTAAATGGAAGACAAAATATATAATGGTGAACTAGGACTGGCTCTCAAGGACCTTATACTTCAAGAAGATAACCAAATTTGCATCAGTCATAGAAGCTAAACTTGATCCAGAACTTCTCTGCCTGATCCGAGTCTTACCAAGCTGCATGCCAATCTTCCTCTGAATATAGTTGACAGGGTGGAATTCCAGTCCAGTTCTCACATTATATTTTCTAGGCGTGGGATATCTTCCAAAATCAAATCCCTTGACAGAATAAAAGGGCTCTATTGTCTGAGTAAATTTCAGATTTGATTTCTGATCGCCTGCCCGTACTTGAATTGCAAACCGTATTCTCGAGTGCTGCAGTTAATAGGTTTGTTGAAAAGCAAGGCACATATTAAACTCCACATCCATTCATGCAGTAAATATATGCATGTTTCCAGAGACGAGAACAAGTTGTAAGAGTCAATCTGCCTTTAGAAAATGTGAGGTATGGACCGAATATCAGAGCCACACAAAATGTTTTACTCTTCTCCTCCCCTCTCAGGGGAAAATCAGGATTTTTATTATTATTAATAATAATTTATACACTTCCCTTCATCAAAATATCTCAGGGTATGTCACAAGATAAAAACAAATATAATCCTAACAGGTTATATCCAGCACAATGTATTTTTTCAACCATGAATTTGGTATAAAGGGACTGCATTGTGCGCAACTGACACCAAATGGTGGACACTGGAGATACTAGATCAATAAAATTATACTATGACTTATCATCATCATTATACACAAGCAGTAAAATGGATGGAAGTCTAGTTTGAGTCTGACTAGCATTCACTAGCTGGCCATAGCAGTGCCTTCTCCGTGGTGGTGCCAAGTCTTTGGCTCATTTTTTAATGTTTGCAAATCCCTCCTTGGGTTTCGGGAACACACCTTAAGGTATTGTTATTTGGTTGAGCCTCTGGCATTGTGAAGCCACAGAATCTGTTCTGCTTTCTTATGAACGGTCCTACAGTTAGCCTTCTATTTCTAACAATTATACGGTGCTTGGGTTTTTATTATTTTGTTATTAAGGGTTCAAGGGTCTGGGCTGAGGCACACGGCACAGCAATCTTGCTGAAGCTAAACAGGTCTAGATCTGGTCACTGCCTTGATGAGAGACCAACTGGGAACGCCAAGTATAGGCTGCCCTTAATTCCAGTGGGGATGGCTGCCTATCAGGGATGCTGTAGCAGAGGAATTCCAGCATCAACAGTGGTTGGACTTCATCAGGGTTTCCCAAACTTGGGTCTCCAGCTGTTTTTGGAATACAACTCCCACCATCCCTACCTAGCAAGACCAGTGATTAGGTATGGTGGGAATAGCAGTCCAAAAAACAGCTGGAGACCCAGGTTTGGGAAACACTGGGTTACATGGCCCTTATAGTAGGGTTGCCATTGAGCCAGGGCTGCATACCTAGCCTAGCATCCCACCTTTGTCGCCAGTGAAGTGTAGGTGGGTCCCCACGAGGCAAGACACAGAGATAACAGCAAGAACCTTTATTGGCTACATAACTGGGAAGCAGAGGCAAAGCAACTACTTATATACTTTTCTGAAAGCTGGGCCACTCTCACTCCCAACGTGATTGGCTGTCTACACGTCCACACTGCGAATCACAACTCAGAGTTCAAGGGCCAATGGCGGAGGCCCAAATCCTGAAATGTTCTCTGATTGGACATCATGTATCGAATCAGAACACAGGAGCTCAGAATCCTTAGTCCAGACTCAAGCTCAGGCAAACGCAGACCACTGAATACATATCACCCATATTTCAAAAAGGAAAAACCAGGACACCACAAAAGTTGTTGAGCTAAAAAAACCACGTATATTTGATTGACTTGCCTAAGATCTAGGACAAAGCACCGCCTTTCAGAAATTGGACGTCACTTCCGCCTTTGAACGGACATATGGCAGCCCATATTATTATTAATAATAATTTATACACTTCCCTTCATCAAAATATCCCTTCATCAAAATATGAGAGAGTGCTATGATTGCTTCATCTCAATGATTCTCAGAAGGACTCCATGGTGGGATAAGCTTAGCCAAATGTGGATCAGGAGGAGAATCAACTGCTTTTATACTGAATAGATTTATTTTTTTATCTAAGATTTGTGGGTAAAGAGAGTTCCTTCGTTTAAGTTAAAGTTTCTGGGGTCCTAGAGTTTGTACTGTTTATTGGTTTAATTTTACCCCAAGTCCAAATACACTTTGAAATGGCATTATATCTTTTGTAGTTACAAAGCACAGGTGGTTTCCCCTGACAGTGAGCAGAGCCATGTGGCTTAATTGGATGGATGCACAACAACCATTCCTTACACACACACACACACACACACACACACACACACACAAAGAAGGAAGAGAGAGGGAGGGGAGTCAGGATAAACAGCCAGGATGAGCATAGTCCAAGAACCCAGGACTAATATGAAACTTAGTCAAGAAGATGTAACAGCTCCAAGCAGCAAGGAGCTGCAGAAGCAAGGCTCAATGCTGAATTCTAAACTTTAGAACAACAGCCAAAACTCCAGAGAAGCTTGAATGCGATAACCACTTAAGGAACGGCTCCAGGATTTTCATTAAACTTCCACTTGGAAGGACTGGGCCTGGGCCTGGAGGTGAAGCCAGTCTTGGAATGCTTAATAAGATGCTGGAGGATGGGAATAAAAGAAAATGGGAGTAAAGTAACGTGAGGATAATCCCCAAAAAGAGGGAGGCGGGGAGAGAGAAACCATGCCTTTAACCGATGTTATTGAAAGGTGGTGTTCTGAGATGCTCCTCTTTAGTTAAGCATCCTTTGAGGAGGGGTGTGCATGCAGAATATTGAGCTGAAATGTGTATCCCATATATGTTTTCTATTTAAACTAAAGCTCCTACTGGTTTGGTTTCTCTTCTCCTGCCCCGCCCTGCCCTGCTTGGGGTTTCTTGCTTCTTCTAGCAAAAAGACATCACACAATGGAAAGTTCAAGTTTTTCAATATTAAGCCAAAGAACTGTAAGGAATTTTCGCTGGCCTTTAACATTATGCTGGATTTGGGTTGCCTTGTTTTTACTGGGCATCATTACTTGGTTGGCTCTTGTAGCGTTAGAACAGGACGTTCCATTTTGAGTGATGCTAAGCCCTTCTTTTTCTTCCTCATCCTCTTCCTCTTCCTCCAACTAGATCAGGGGTTTGGGGCCACCGCCCCCTTAAGTCCATAGCCTCATCCCCAGGGGTCTCTACCCTATTAAGAAGCATTATTAAGAATAGCGGTTTACATGGCCCACTAAGGAAGGCAATTAACAAACAAAATTCAAAACAATTAAGTGCCAAATCCAGTTAAAATGATTTAGTTTCATTAATTCAACCAAACTGATGAACTTCATCCAGTGATGCCAACTTCTCAAAGACTAATAGGCATTTGCACCTCTGCTCCCTTGCCTTTCAGCACCTCTAGGTAATTCCACTGTCCCCCCAGGGGTGGTTTCACCCACTTTGGCAACCGCTGAACTAGATCATCGTTGTGGCAGATCTCATCGCAAGCAGGCAGGGCGCTGCATCACGGTCCCCCTTTCTACAAGGAGACAATATTATCCGGATTGTTCTTTCCCTTTGGTGGAAAGGGTTTTACAGCATTTATATATAACCTCTGGCATCACTTCAGCAGCTTGAACAGGATTCCAAGCTTGGGGGCCAAAGACAAATTGCTTGCCTGTGCTTGGGCAAACCATGAACTATAACTCTTGTTAGTTTTGATGTCTAATGATGCGGTTGTACACAAGTAATGCTGAGCTACGCAGAAGCCCAGAGATCCCTCTCATGTGTTATGAATGAGCCAGGAGTCATTCCACACACAACGCAGAAGGTGGCCTGAGGTGAGAGAATTCTGGACTCTACCACTAATGCCCCGATGACTCTGCTGCCCTAGTTAGTGCACATAAGGAGATCTGGGTTGGTTGCCTTTTAATCTGGTGAAGCATTGGGGAGAGGGGAATGTAGCACACTGCAGAAGAGAAGAAGAGAGAAGCAGAGCTAGCCAATTGCCTCTGCTGAGGAACTGCTGCCTTTGGACTTTCCTCACCTGTCACCAGCATCAGGCGGCCTGTCCTGTATCCATCCCTGCTGGTTGTACTTTTAATAATTGGTGTCTGGGTTTGCTTTCTACTGCCCTCCTCATCCCTTTTTCCTTGTGTGTCATGTCTTCTAGATAACAAAAGCATCCCATGGCATACATTCAGGCTTCCAGTACACGCACACCCAGGCAGCTCTTTCTCCAATATTTGTTTTTCACAGGCAGCATTTCCATTGTGAGCATATTTTCCATCCAAGTCAGGTGGAGTTTCAGCATCATTCCCTCCCCCCCCCTAAAACATTCTTCCTTCTTCCTAGCCATAGTGACATCGCCACATGTAAATCCAATTTGGTTATCGGATAGCACTGACGGCAAGCAAAACTAATTCAGAGTGGTTGCACTCTGCATTTGCTTTCTTTGCCCTCAGTGACATCACCACGTCGCCAGATCTGATTGGCTGCATGATGTCACTGTTAACGAGGAAGATTTAAGAATTTTAAAATTATGCTGGAATTGCTCCAAATTGAACTACAAATTCCATCAGATAGGCTTTTCAGTAAATGTGTTGTACTTCTCATGCTAAAAATATTCAGCGGGAAACATTTGGTGAGCTCTGAATATAGGAGCATAGCAAAGTGCCTCAAAGCATGTCGTGAACAGCCCTTCTGGCTTCATATTATCTACAGTGACTGCCAGTAGATCTCCAGGTTTTTGACAATGAGTCTTTCGCAGCCCTTCCAGGAGACCCCAGGGATTGAACCTGGGACCTTCAGAATGCAAGAAAGTTGCTCTTCCAGTGAGCCACATCCCTGTGCCTTCTGCTTTTCAATTAACTTGCTTTTGCACCCATGTGAACATGCTAACATGTTATTTGTGTAGGTAGCATTCTGCCATTGTCTCTTCACAATATGGAACATAAAATGCCTATTTCAAAAGGCTGATTGTATTTCTGTCCCTTATGGAAGCACAGAAGCAAGATGTTAAAGCCTCAGGTCTCCAAAGGAATAACACAAACTGGCTCATTGCGAAAAACCATTGCAGAATTATTCGGAACGCATTGTCCTACCAGGGCCATGTGGGTTTCTCACATTCAGCAGGCTGATGAGCAAAGAGAGACAATGAGACGAGGTATAATTTGAATCCATAAAATCCTATAACGGAACCCTTATGAGTGGTTCTTCTTGAACTCAATAAATGTGAAAAACCAACAGGGCATCATATAAACAATTTTTGTATTCTTACGGATTCAAATCCTCAGGTGATGGCCAATTAAACCACCCTAAAGCGTTAAATAGCATGACATTCTTATTTCATGGTTAAGCTCAAAAGCCGAATTCTGTCTTATTAAATTCGTACAGCTCCTTCCCATAACAGAACATTTGAGGAATCAATTTGTTTAGCCGACATTTTATGGCGGCACAAGAAAAGACACCAGGAATTCATGCCTTCAGAGACGCTGCTGAAGCCATTGTGAGAAAAATGCTGACTGTGAGAGTGCCATTGTGTGCCGTCAAAGTACACTCTGGAGAGAGAGGAAAGAACAGTTGAGAAAGTCACAATGTATACTGGCAACACTCTCTGCCTCAAGGATGTAATTTAAAAGTGTGCTGTATTCCCTTGTTCCCTTTCCAAGCTGACACTAGCTCTGGATCAACACTGGTAAAATAAAAATAAGTGCTGGCACCCATCATAATTCATGCCATTATCCCTCTTATTTTACACACACAAAACTCAGGCAGATATTTCATGGTACAAACATCTCTTTGTGAGACATACTTCTTCAGACTTTCAGACTGGGGCCTCAGGCCTGATCCACATCATAGTTTTTTTTATTATTATTATCATCTGTATGTCGCTACCCAGGGTACAGATGGCATTTTACAGACTAATATAAGCATGTGCGCGCACAAAAAATGCTCCAAAGCAGCTTCCTCTCTAAATTTAGACAAGAACCAGAGAGTGAAGCCAGAGGAACGTGGTTTGTGCCTTGATCAGCTCCTGCCTGGAAACCAATGTCCCCACTGTGGAAGGACGTGTGGATCCAGAATTGGCCTCCACAGTCACTTACGGACTCATTGTTAAAACCGTGTTTATGGAAGACAATCTTATTCGGCTACGAGTGATCGCCAAAGAAGAAGAAGGTGCTTTTGAAAGTGAAGTCAACATGAGTTTACTTTTTTGTAGAAATCTTTATTGATTGATTCTATACCATTTAATATTTCAAAAACTCTCTAAGCATTGTCCTGCACACAAAAACAACAACAGTTACAAAAACACACATTAGGACCACTGGAAGAAATAACTAATAAATAGATCCAGATAGCATGTCTTCCTATCATCTATTGATCTATCAATCAATCTAATCTATCTGATTTATATAACACCCTTCATCAAAAGATGTCAGGGGGGTTCACAAGATAACAACACAAGACAAAAAGTACAAATCAACACTTAAAACAGAAACAACAAATCAATAACACCCCCTCCAACAAACACCTGGAGAAGCATCTCCACCTCCACCGTTCGCCCTAGACACTGAGGTCCACCTCAAAGGGTCTTCTGGCGGTTCCCTCACTGTGAGAAGTGAAGTTGCAGGGAACCAACCAAGTCTTCTTGGCAGTGGTGCCCTGCCTGTGGAGATAAAAAACTACACAACTTTTAGAAGACATCTAAAGGCAGCCTTGTATTGGGAAGTTTTTAGTGTTCAATATTTTATTATGTTTTTATATGTGCTGGAAGCCACCCAGCATGGCTGGGGAAACCCAGCCAGCTGGGCGAGGTGGTACAACAACAACAACAACAACAACAACAACAACAACAACAACAACAATGCTGTAGAATATTAATCAGCCCAAGGCCTGGTTGAAGATGAAATTTTTTGCCTGGGGCCTAAATATATATAAGGAAGGCGCCAGACGAACCTCCCTGGGGAGAGCATTCCACAAATGGGGAGTCACTGCAGAAATGGCCTGTTCTCATGTTGCCACCCTCCGGACCTCATGTGGAGGAGGCACACAAAGAAGGGCCTCAGATGATGCTCTCAGGGTCTGGGTTGGTTCTCCTCCTCACTCAAGACCTCTCAGCCTCCTGGCTCTCACCCAGGACTCCACCCATCCACCCCAACCCTCAGAACCCAAACAAACTCACAGACCACAACCTCACAACAAATAGAGTTTCTGGAGCCTGCTGACAACCACCCTAGTCTCTCCATTCAACACTTGCTTTTATGGGCAGGCGCCAAGGTATGGCACATCACCTGAGCATTCAACTATGTGCCATCTATGAAGTGAGATGAAGTGTGCAAACCAGCCTTATATGTCATATCGATACAACAAGGACATTGTCATAACTAGCAGTGGAAACATTTGTGTAGTTACCATGCCCAGACATAAAACTTTCTGTTCCAGGTGGGGGGGAAGAGGCACTGACTAAACCTAGAAGTAGTAAGAAACTGTTAACTAAAGAGAGAGAAAAAGGTCAGCTCATACATTTATTCTCAATACCATAATTGAACTCGCAGTCCTTTCAGGCAAAACTTCACTGCTGGTTTTCTCCCAACTTTTCTTAGTTTCAGCAGGATAATTTAAGGTGGGTTGGAAAGCTGTTATTGGTATTTTTAAACAACTGGGAACTAGAACTGCCTGTTGATCTACCGCAACCCATCCAGAGTCCTAGCTGTAGATGTTAATCTCTCTTCTTCCCACCCCTGCTCTAGAAAACCAAAGGGAGGCCATCAAAAATTGCAGATTAACAGAACACAGCCATGACCAGCAGGAAAGGATTCGATTACCAATTCTTGCTATTCATCAATCAGGCTCTTTGGCTTTGGTGATGGATTTTAGACTTCTCCGAAGAGTCTTCGTGTTTCCCTGATTATTGTTATTTTAGTGTAACAAATCCTATATAAGCCCGCAGTGAGGAAGCGAGGCTAACCAAGGATGATTTTCATTCACAACAAATTCTTGTGGGCAACTCCACTTCCCACATCCACAGCTGGGCAGTTATCCAGAGTGCAGATAGATCTCTGCATTCTACACGGAAAGCTGAGACTGTGCCCTCAGGTGCCGTATCCAGGATATACCACTTCACATAGGAGATATGGAGGTCACAGGACCGGCCCAAGACATTTTGCTACCTGAGGCAAACCAGAAAATGGCAACTCTCTGGGAATCCTGGGAATTGTATATTTTTAAGGGTGCAGGGTGAAAACATAGATAGGGAATATCAGGCTCAGGGACCACATACTGGGCCTTTCTGTCAAGGCTCAGGCCACCCCCACTTTGCTCCCTCCTTGCCTGTTTTTGACAGACCGAAATACGTATTTGGATTGAAAGAAGGCATGGTGGTGTTGGAGAGCGCTCATCTTGCCCTGCTTCCTCACCCCACCCCCAAAAAATCCTCCTCTTTCCATTCTACTGACCAACTTCTCTCTTGCCTTTGCACCACAGCTTACTGAAACTGTTTTCTTGCAAAGCTATGAGCCTGCCTGCCAGCAGGCAACCACCCATGTAGAAACTGGTAGGTTTGCTCCCAAATGAGGAACAAACGCAGGATCCGGCTGGTGCTATGATCTACAATTTTCAAGAGCCCTTCCTCACAAGCTTCCACCTTCCTCAGGGTGGTGGTGTCCCAAGAAAGGCCATTCTCTGTAGCAGCCGCTAAGTTGTGGAAGTCCCTCCCACAGAGGCGTGTCTGGCACCTTCTCTATACAGATCTTGACAAATGCTGAAGACGCACCTCTTTATCCTGGCCTTTGAAACCTGTGTGTTTTAGGACCCACATTTGTATGACTGTAATTTGTTTTAGGGTCCATATAATTAAAGCTATGGTTTTCCCTGTAGTGATGTATGGAAGTGAAAGCTGGACCATAAAGAAGGCTGATCACTGAAGAATTGATGCTTTTGAATTATGGTGCGGGAGGAGACTCTTGAGAGTCCCATGGACTGCAAGAAGATCAAACCTGTCCATTCTTAAGGAAATGAGCCCTGAGCGCTCACTGGAAGGACAGATCCTGAAGCTGAGGCTCCAATACTTTGGCCACTTCATGAGAAGAGAAGACTCCCTGGAAAAGACTCTGATGCTGGGAAAGATGGAGGGCACAAGGAGAAGGGGACGACAGAGGATGAAATGGTTAGACAGTGTTCTCGAAGCTACCAACATGAGTTTGACCAAACTGTGGGAGGCAGTGAAAGACAGGAGTGCCTGGCGTGCTCTGGTCCATGGGGTCACGAAGAGTCGGACACAACTAAACGACTAAACAACAACAAATTTGTTTTAGCTATTTTTAATACTGAATTTCAGGTTGTTGTAACCCACTTGGGACCTGCTGCTGAAGAAGGGTTATAGCAGTAGTAGTAATGGTTTTGGGATTTTTAAAAAATACGATTGAAAATGTATTTTCTGTCTTAATAAGCATGTTCTGTATTTGGCCTTCTCTGTGATGGAACTTATTCCTTGGACAATTTTTCCATGACCTTTAATTTTCTTTGCCCTTAACAAGAATGGCTTCTGAAATGTATAGGCAAGATAGACAAAGCAATTGATGCCATATACAGAAGGAATGGTCTCTTAGCAGTAACTAGTATTCCGGTGAAATGGTCCCGCTTCATTGGGACACAAATTGTAGACGTATTAAACTGGAAAGGAATTTATACTTGTTTCTTTCATTTCAATGTCTATATTGTGTTGTTATCCCTTCTGTTAAAATAGAAAATAATAATAATTCCAAATAGTCCATTGTTGTAGGCTATTGAATATGTTTCTATTTATTTCTTGCAAAATCCAAACAGCAGGTGGGCGTAGCTAGCCAGA